AGGAAAATTTACCATCGCACGTGGAGGGCCTATTTTGCCTGGTGTGAGGCTGGGGCCCTGTCCCCGCGTTTATTCTCCATCAGCAGAATCCTGGCATTCCTGCAGCGCGGAGTGGCTCAGGGGCTGGCCTTGAGTACTGTGAAGGGCCAAATCTCTGCCTTGGCGGTCTTTGGCGTCTAATGCTCTGGTTTGCACTTTTGTTCAGGGGGTGACTCGCATTGCTCCCCCCTGTCCGCTCGCCTTTGGCTCCGTGGGATCTGAATCTCGTGCTTTCAGTGTTGCAGGAATCCCCGTTTGAACCTCTTCGGGAGATTCCGCTTATGTCTTTGTCACAGAAAGTGGCCATCACTTCCGTTCGGCGGGTGTCGGAGTTAGCTGCAAGTCTCCGTTGCTGGTTTTGCATCGGGACAAGGCGGTTCTCCGTCCTCGGCCGGCTGGCGTTCCTGCCGAAGGTTGTGTCGGCATTCCATCTGAATGAGGACATTGTCTTACCTTCCCTGTGTCCGAAGCCGGTCCATAGGAAGGAGCGTGCGCTCCACTGTTTGGATGTGGTTCACGCTCCCTCAGTGTGTACTGCTTGGTGACATCCCTACCATTCAGGATCTACGATCTGTTGCCCTGTGCCCTTCAATGAACGAGAGAGAAAATAGGATTTTTGTACTCACCGTAAAATCTTTTTCTTTCCGTTCATTGAAGGACATAGGTCCCGCCATCTTTTGTGGTGTGTACACTCCTAACTGCTTGTTACTTACTGGAGACTTGTCAGCAAGTGAGGGGTTGGGCCACCCCTAGGCTGTCTTGTCTTTTGTTATGTGCCTAGCGTCCTACTCCTGCAGGTGGCGATATACCCTACCATTCAGGATCTACAATCTGTGTCCTTCAATGAACGGAGAGAAAAGGATTTTACGGTGAGTACAAAAATCCTATTTTTATCCACAGGGTCTTTACACACCGGAATGTCCTCAACAGGGAAAAAGTCTTATTAGGACATGAAAGGACTTAAGGAACACCTCCTCCATAGGATATGTTTGGGCATAGCACCTGGGAGGAGAAAATATTTTTTTCTAGATTAGGCCAGTCACTGTTAAAAACAGGGTGCAATACTGAGTGTACAGGAAAGGTTTTAACAGGATGGGCTTTTAAGAGAACCCAGGCTGGTATAAAGCAGGTTGTTCCAGGTGCATACTTCCAATGTATGTGTGCACTGCGTCAATTAGGATTGAAGTGGTATCCTTAAAGTGGACTTTTACCCCCTTTAACTAAAAATCACATCAGAATACAGCTCTGTATGCCGATTTAAAATCATATTACATTCATTAGCTAAACAAACATGTTTTTCATTTACTTACAAATAGAGTTCATCTACTTCCTGGTCCACTTTTGGCTCAAATTATGTAATGTGCCCAAGCATTGCATCCTGGGAAGGTTATATGAGCAGAGCATTGCTGGGAAATCTCATCTGAGATCTCAGGGAAAGGCATTTACCTCCCCTGAGATGATGTACATGGTCACATGTCCCAGAGTTCCAGGAAGTAAAGGGAGATAAAGTAACCTGCCCTTAGTAAACATGGCCACTGTCAGAAGACTGGGGAAGAAAAGACAAATAAGGTATGTAAAGAATACAAAGCCGACAATTATCTAGAAGTATGCGTAGATTGACATTCATAAACATTTGCAGAGGTGTTTGTTATTTTAAAGATATGGGTAAAGTTCCTCTAAGTTTTGGAGTTATGTCCGCAGACAAACTCCTCATGATCCAATCATAAAACAATGGTTGGGTTTATCCTTCATGAAAGCAGCTGCAACTTTCCCCGCAATTTCAGGCACAGTAGCAGAAAATTCCTCTCTGAATAATACAAAGGAGTGAGGCACTCCTTAACCAGTTGACATCCGCGGTGTTAAACCCCCTTCCCATCCAGGCCATTTTTCAGTATTCAGCGCTGCGGTACTTTAACTGACATTTATTCCGTCATGCAACGCTGTACTGAAATGAATTTTATACCCTTTTTTGGGGACAGATAGAGCTTTCTTTTGGTGGTATTTATTCACCACTGGGGGTTTTATTTTTTTACTATATTAAGGAAAAATTACCGAAATTTTTTTTAAAAAAACAGTTTCCCCTATATTAAATGATAAAACATTTATTATTACCCAATTTTTTGGTAAAATATAAAAGATGGGGTCACGTCGGGTAAAAAGACACTAAACATGTCAAGCCTTAAAATTGCGTGCGCGCGCGAAACCTCAAAAAACGATAATACCCAAAATTGGCCCTAGGCGACGCTTTAAAAGCTGTTACCGCTCATCAGTTTAGTGTTATCAGTGATTGATGGCCCTAAAATGATTGCTCTCACTGCGACGTTCGCGGCGATATGTAACATGTGTAGCGCAATTGTAATTTTTGCGCGCTGGGGCACCGGACGCGTATTTACGTTTATAGGCGCGTAAAAAGTATGTGTGTGCATTTAGCGGGTCTTATCTGCCCGTGCGTGCCCGCTAGGGGGCGCGCGCGAGCAGAAAAAAATTGCCGTCTGGAGACGGCAACCCGCAACCCGGACGGACAGTGCCGTCCGTCCGTTTTTTTACTACGGGCGGACGGCAAGAGGTTAAGGACTATTCCCGAGAAATGTTGCAACGTCGGCAGGTGCAATCATCTGGCCTATCAGTGACAGGTCCTTTTGGAAGTACACTACAAGCCCCCCTCCCCGGAATGATTTATGGATTGTAAGCTTGCTAGGTCCACAGGACTACTACCCTTGTGCCTATGATCTATCATGCCAAGTGTGCAATTAAGGAATTTCTCATTGAAGGTTCTTACAAAACTCAGGAATGGTTAATGCCATCAGTGACTGTCACTGTAAAGCAGCAGGGAACCCAATAAAACATCCCGAAGAATCATCCGGAGGAGATGGCAGGAAGACTGAAGGGTCCACACTCTGGACAATGGTGCCCGCATACGCAGTAAGACAACCCAAGTGAAAAGGCAAACTCAATAGGGGTAGTCAGGCAGTAATGGATACTGGCCGCCAGTTTAAAAAAAAAATGGTGATGCGCCTCTTTTCTCTGCAAACGTTTTACAGATGGCATTCCGTAGTAAACTCACGGGACTCCCCATAGCTTGAAAGTAACCATCAGGTTCCCAAAAATAAAAGGCAAGCCCGGACTCATTAAGTGGTGGTTCCTGCAGTCCAAACTACGTTGCAGGAGGTTAGGCAGGAACAACCAGGGGGGCATGCCCAATCCAGATAATCTTCACCCTCCTGATGAGCATACTCCCTAAGAATTGTTAAGGCACAGAGTTCTACCAGACAATTACACTTTGGCCCTGGACCTGTAAAGCACTCTGCGGATAACCTGCACAATGCACCATGTCTAGGAGAGCACCTCAGCAGAGCCCAGCGCAATCAGGACATATTACAGGCGATCCAATTTCTTCCTCATAGCAGGGTTCTGGGTACAGCCTCCAAGGCTCTGCTGACGATCAGCTGACGCAGAAAGCTACAAAATGAGTGCTACTGGCTCTGCAGCAACTAAATAAGCTTGCTGATAGAAAGAAATACTGAAAGAAGTAGTAAGAGTTTGATGCTCTCTAAAAGGGGAGAAGAGACAGTACTCCTTAGACACCAAAAAAACTGAAGCATGATTGTGGAGTGGGAAGGGTTATACTAGGCTGTTCTTACAGCTTTGTTTGCCAGTGTTCACTTTCCTGAAAGCTACAGCATAACCCTACATGCCTGAATTACTCATCTTGCGTCCCTTAATGTACAACTAGGAAATTTCCTTTATTACCTTTTTCTTTGTTTTATTTCCAGCAGTCTTTTGAACATCATTCTCTTATGCTGTAGGCATGGAGAAGCCACAGCCTATCACACTGCTCAAAACAATTGCCGACTACGAGCCTGCCTCGGTCAAGCAACGTATAAAGCTGCAGGATGCGTGGACACCTGGGGACATTTATAAAGCAAGTTGGCAACATTGTTATTCACAAATTAGTCTACCCCTTGCTCAGAAAAATCTCTGAAACAGGTTTACAGTCCCCTGGGGTCTTTATTCCTGGGCAGCCAAGTGCTACAGTTTGCAAAGATCGGAGATAGATTTATTACTGAAGAGAAGACAGATTTTCACTCTAAACAGGTGCATAATTAAGAAGTAGCCAAGGTCAGGTTTCATTCTGTCACTGTGTTACTGTAGGGCAGCTGAAGGGGGAATTTATAACTGAAGCTGAACCCTTGTAGTAAATCTGTCTCGGTGCTCCTGTTTAGGATTGCTTTGCAGTAGAATTGCTGTGCATTGACAGCTGTCTGTAGTTGCCCAGTAAAAGCAGGCACAGGAGGCTGACAAGACTAACGCTGCATTGGAGACCTATGTTGTCACCCTATCAGAGAAAGCCCATAGAGACAGCAGAATCTGGCAGGATGAACAGGTAAATACTGCCAGCAAGAAAAATAGATTGCACTACTACTGTATATTTAGGAAATAGAGGGAATGATTTATAAAACTTCACTTTTTGGGTTACATACACTTACTTTAAGGCCAAAGGAAATATATGCGTACAAGAGACAAAAAAAAAAAGCTTAATAAGGAAAAACAAGACACATTGAAATTCATTTTCTATAATGCAGTAAAATCTACTTGAATACACTTTGAAACAAGAGTACAACAAAATAGAATATACTTCAAATGTTGAATATACAAACTATTGTAGTTCATTCTGAACACTGGTACTTTATCCCCAAACCCTCCCAAAGTGTCCCCATCATAACTTCAACTAACAAAATAGCAGGCTCCAAACATCTTGCTCTCCGAAAAAAAATGAACTCATGCGTGCAGTGACCTTTCCAAATGGATAGCAAAAATTGAAATGTATTGCGTGTGACAAAAGCATGTTACCCTAAAAGGCTTGCTTGCCTGCTGCTGTGCCCCAAATCTCATCCGCCGCTGCATGAAAGGCTCTCAAAATGCTCATAGACCATCTCAGCCACAAAGATATAAAAAAAAAAAAAAAAAAAAGGCCAGACTTGAATCTACCATATAAAATATGTTACAGTTATTTCTATGCCAATACTGTGCTAGGTACAAGATTTTCCTCCATATTTTCTATAATACATTTATATATAAAAAGATTGCTTTACACAAAACAAGCCATTAGCTTATTTCAAGAAAAAAAAATAAAACTGACTCAGTCTAAGGCTTCCATATGAAATCTGCTTTCTATTAAACCCAAATCTCATTTGTACTTTTCGTTTCAGAAACGTAAACGGGAGTCTCTTATCTTGCTCTCCGCACGCACCGCATTTCACACACTTGCCTTGCAGAGGTTTCAACATAGCACCGGTCAAAAGAGGGCTATTTGTACACAGTGGTATAAATTGCTGGTATTAAAAAGAAAATTCTATATTGTATATATAAAGCAATAATAAAAAAAAGGAATCTAGAAAACAAAAAGTTATAAATTTACAATTGCCACGTTGACCTAAACTTGAGTTTCTACTTTGGGAAAACAAACAGCCGCTCTGAAAAGTAATTTTAGTGTTCCACTTTTTACTTAATGTAACCTAGAAAATATATATGCATGTATTAATGAACGCTTTGGTCCCTTTTAGTTTTTGTTTTCCTTAGCTGTAATTTTATTTGATGTTAGAGGCATTATTCCCATCAGCCTGTGAACAATGATCCCACTGAAAACATGGGAAAAACTCCAGTAAAATGTTCATTTCCTTTAAACTCCGCGTATACACATCTTCTGTCTTGCTTTAAAGTCTCACAGGACTCGAACCTCCTCTCTTCCCTCCAGAAAAGAAAAGTTTATTTTATTGTCAGTTTGACCCAAAGCACAAATGGGTGGAATGGTCTCATTTATCACACACCATCGTCCCTTCTTGTTTGACAGTCATTGGCAAGGTAAGACCCGAAGAAGGAGCACTAACAACCACCACATGCGTTACTGTTTTGCCGCCGTCTGCTTGTTTGTCATCTTTCACCAACTGAAATGTTTTAAATTCTCCATCCGGCCTGCTTACCACTATGTCCGACTTCATATCAGGTCCTTTAATAAGGGTACTGATGACCCGTGGTGGTGTCTGGCAACGGGCTTGTTGTGCTGGCATTGCTAGTCTCATAACAGGAGTGCCATGGGCAATTGACACAGGAGTAAGTGCTCTGACAGTCAGTGGGGTGCCCACTAGATTCAATCCCCCTGCTCCGCTCAGGTTGGGCTTTGTTTGCAGCTGACATTGGGTGAGCTGAGTAGTGGGGATGGTAATGATTTTGGCAGGCTGCATCGTGAACTTATCACTTTCCGTAGAAGTTGCCATCATAGTAGGTATTGTCTGGATGACAACCTTCGGTGCTGTAGCAGATGTGGGGCTGGTGTTAGCAATCAAGGGGGTTCCAGTGTTCATGGACTGGACGGCCAATGTTGAGATCTTCTGTCCTAGGGAAGTCATCATGACAGGCACTTGCATTGCAACACGGACAGTCCTATTAGAAACAAGAAAAAAATATTTAAAATGTATAATATGTTTTAGATTGCAATAAGAACTGACAAAAAGTTAAAATATCAATAGTTTTGGTTCTAACAGAATAAAATATGTCACAAAACTTTCTGCAGACTGCCAAATGAAAAAGATGTCAGTAGCATCCATTTAGGGCTGCAACAAACTAATCGATAATAGTTGTCAACTATTCTCATTATCGATTAGTTGGTTGGATCTCCTAGCTCTCTCCTCCACACTGAAAGGAGGGCACAGCAAGCAGTGGGTGGGTGCAATAGCCAAACTGCTATTGCACCAACCCACTACCGGCAGTATTTACATTCAGCTGTCTGCGGAATCTTGCCACTGGCAGCTGTCATTCCCTGGCTGTAGCTATTCAAGCGCCATGTGCTTCCAAAACAATGATTAAAAAAAAAAAAAATTATAAAAAAGGTGGGGGGGAAAAAAAAGTAATTTTCAGTTTTGACTTGACAAATTCTGCTGTGGGAGGTGCATTGCAGTACCAACTATTTCAATGGCACCCCAAATCCCACCCACAGTGTGATCGTCCGCACGGTACCATAATGCTGTGCATTCCAGCACAGTGCGATTGCAAAAAATTCTGCGTGCAGTTTGATTCTGAAGTAAACTTTGTTTGTAACACTGCATTTGTGTATTTTATTTAGCTGCAGCCCTACATCTATTTTTAATTATTTGCGAATGACACTATATTTTATTCTTTCACTACATCCCTATTAATAGGTTGTTCCTACATATTATGGTGTGAAATTAAAGTGACATTATAAAGAATTAGATGACTTTTAGCAGACCAATCAATAAAATGTAGAAGGTACCGTTTCAGCATTAACATATAACTAAAGCCAAAACATTTTTGTCTTCGTTTTGGATAAAGCAGGGAGCTCAACAAGGTTATTTTTGCCAACTGTGTCCAATTAGGGAGATTTCCATTTACTTCTGTCCGACAATCCCAACAGAAAGTAAGAGATCATGTCCTCTTTGATGGTTTTCACCTGAACAGGTGTTGGAAAATTTCCCTCTATACCTGCTCTGGTGGCAAGTCAAAATTTTGGATTTTTACTCACTTTCAGTCCCAGATACAAAGGTCACCAGAAGAAATAGTGAGGGTGAATCTTCCAAGTGGGGACAAGAATTTTAACCCCGCACGACACTTTCCAAAACAAAAACAAAAAAAAAGTCAGTTTTGGCTTTAGAGACGCTTTCTAGTTTGAAAGAAAACCTTTTTCTTGTAAGAAGTAACAAACACTGAAAAGCCAAGCCACACAAGATACAACAGTTCATCGTATCCTTTTTCCAACAAATTGCCTGTGCATAATTAATGTACAAGCTGAAGAAGTTACCTTGAGACCAGAGGCACGTATAATTCAAAAAGATTTGCTTTATTGGAATATATTTTTGTAGTTGTGATCCCATAAAGCAAATCTTTTTAAATGATACGTGCCTCTTGTCTCGAGGTAACCTCTTTAGCTTGTACATTAATTATGCACAGGCAATTTGTTGCTTCATATGCTATATGGTTACATACTGGGTCTCGTTTTTGCTGTGGTGTTGTGAACCACTATTTATAATGAATATTTGAATAAGTTTCTCCGAGTAATCCAAAATATTTTGAGCAGTTTATCCCTTATCCGCCCTTTTAGCTCACAGATCATCTAATGCGAAGACCATGGTGGTTGGATGACAGCTGATGACACAGTTGTTGCAAAACAAATCTAATACTAGCCACATACAGTAAGGTTTTCGACTGCTCAATGCCACAGACGTTGCCAACAAATGTATAAGAAGGGGGCCGGTCAAACTGTGAGACTTCCCAATACATTTGTTACAAGAACAAAATAAATAGGCTACTGGATTATGGAGCCTTAACATTTGTGTGGGGAACCCTTTCACAAGGATGAGAGAATGGTCAAACAGAATTTGGAAGCTGACCTCTGTACTGGGGTTGGCGTTGTGCTGGTAGGAGAGTTAGGAGATGCCTCATTCCCAGGAGAAGCCAAGCTGACAAATCGGGGCTTCCTGGGTGAAATCTGCTGGGTGGGGATTTTCTCCAGTCGAGACGGCATAGACATTTTAAGAATTCCATCTGTGGGCATAGAAACACGCTCCAGAGACTTGTCATCTGCAGGAGACACCAGCTCTTCCATGCAGGATTCAGTCTTCTCATCTTCTATAACCACTATATTTTTGGGCATCTCCTTAAACTGGTATACTAATCGCTGGCCTTCCACTTTTGCTAGAATTCCTCTTTGATAGTAATACCTACAAAAACAAAAAATACAGGAAAAATATCCTTATAAAGAAACTTTCATTAATATTACAAAACATACAAAGTAAAAAATTATCCACCTCAGCTAGTCTAAATAAATGGATTTAAATTGGAGAAAAATAAATAAATTGGTAGCAAGACGACTTTTATTGCAGAAAAGACTGAGGGGAATTTATCAAAACTGGAGCAGCTGTGCATAGCAACCAATCAGCTGAACTGAACAAACTGAAGAGAGCAGCTGATTGGTTACCAGGCAGAGCTGCTCCAGTTTTAATAAATTCCCCAAAAGTATTGTGGGTTCGCTAAAGAGGCAGCACCGCAGATGCAGGGTTTGTATTAGGCTTCTTTTAGCACAGATGAGCACATATTCACCAGCTGGAAGAATAAAAGACTGCATACAATTAACAAGCATGTTTACGCCAAAAACACTAAATATTTTTATTTTTGCCCCTGACAAAAAGGAAAAATGTGTATAAATACACTGTAGGTTTCCTTTTATGTTTGAATAATAAATGCTTACAGTGTGTTCTGAACCTATTATATATGTATAGATAATCAACTATAAACTATGAATTCATTATTACTGTTACAGTGTGTTTGCACACTAGAAAGCATTTGCAAGTCACAAAGGTGCAGTACAGCTGACAAGAATATTCTTTTTGCAACACTGATGACTTGAATAGACACACATACAAGATGGTAAAAAGCCACAGAATAATTTATCTAGGTTACCTCAAGGCACGTCCCATAGTCTCATAATTCATGTCAGGTTTGTTCTTGTGTTTCCCCCAAAGTTTTGAAACGGCTTTGGAGTCCACCAGCTTAAAGATGCCCTTCTCCCTCTGTGTCCACTTAATATATCTAGGGCAAGTGTTCTTATCTTGCAGCAAGTCCAACAGGAACTCCCAGAGGTAAGTCGTATTTCCTAAAAAGAACACATCAAAAAATACATTGCAATTATAAAATCACAGTAAAACAAGCCCAAAGAAAAGATAAAAATAAGTTTAAATTAAAATATAAAATAAAAAATTAGATTATAATTATCATATACACTATATAGCCAAAGTATTGGGTCGCCTTCCTTTACACGCACATGAACTTTAATGGCATCCCAGTCTTAGTCCGTACAGTTCAATATTGAGTTGGCCCGCCCTTTGCGGCTATAACAGCTTCAACTCTTCTGGGAAGGCGTCCACAAGGTTTAACAGTGCGTCTATGGGAATGTTCCACCATTCTTCCAGAAGCACATTTGTGAGGTCAGGTACCGATGTTGGATGAGAAGGCCTGGCTCGCAGTCTCCGCTCTAATTCATACCAAAGATGTTCTATAGGGTTGAGCTCAGTACTCTGTGCAGGCCAGTCACGTTCCTCCACCTCAAACTCCCTCATCCATATCTTTATGGACCTTGCTTTGTGCACTGGTGCGCAGTCATGTTGGGACAGGAAGGGGCCATCCCCAAACTGTTCCCACAAAGTTGGGAGCATGAAATTGTCTTGGTATGCTGATGCCTTAAGAGTTCCCTTCACTGGAACTAAGGGGCCAAGCCCAACCCCTGAAAAACAACCCCACACCATAACCCCCCCTCCACCAAACTTTACACTTTGCACAATGCAATCAGGCAAGTACCATTCTTCTGGCAACTGCAAAACCCAGACATGTCCATCGGATTGCCAGGCACAGAAGTGTGATTCTCACTCCAGCTAACACATCTCCACTTCTCTAGAGTCCAGTGGCGGCGTGCTTTACACCACTGCATCCGACGCTTTGCATTGCACTTGGTGATGCAAGGCTTGGATGCAGCTGCTCGGCCATGGAAACCCGTTCTATGAAGCTCTCTACACACTGTTGTTGTGCCAATCTGAAGGCTACACGAAGTTTGGAGGTCTGTAGCTATTGACTCTGCAGACAGTTGGCGACTTTTGTGCACTGTGCACTTCAGCATGCGCTGACCCCGCTCTGTCATTTTACGTGGCCGAGTTGCTGTTGTTCCCAGTTGCTTCCACTTTGTTATAATACCACTAACAGTTGACTGGAATATTTAGTAGCAAGGAAATTTCATGGAACACCTGAATGTAAGGATTTGGAGGGGTGTCCCAATACTTTTGGCAATATACCCCTAACGTCTTGCGAGTATGAAAAGTAAGAAGTCTGCCCAGGGGGGACAAACACAACTAACACCTGAGAGAGTTTAGCACTTATCCCCACTCTATCCAAGGTTTAAAAAAATGCTTTGGTTAGAGTTTCACCCTAAAAAGTGAAACCTTATTTCCTGGAAGTCCAAGCAGTAGATCCAAGCAGACCTAGAAACCCATGCAACATAAAATATACAGCTTTAAAAATGCAATAATATTTTTAAGAGGACAATAAAAAGAGAATACCTATTTTTTGGACTTAAGAGAATTATATATACACTCATCCCCATAATTAGAGCTGACATATGATACTGAAGCTGTCACACGTCTGCTCTTTTCATCTGGAACTGAGCGATAACATACCTCCAATCGCTCAGTTCCTGATTTTCTCCTTACAAAGAGCGGTCCCTGTAAGTCACTGTTCTTTGCATGGATTCCCCCACCCCTCTCAGTTTCTTCAGAGCTGACTGGAGGAACGGATGAGGAAGGGGGCGGGCACAGCTGTCAATCAGGCAGCAGGGTGTATCCTGACTATATCGTCTCGTTGTTCTATCAAAGTTTGTAGAAGACAAGGATCACCAGCACTCAGTAATATCATTCAATATGTCCATTTAATTGGACAGATCGTCGCAATAACAAATGCCAACGTTTTGGGGTCACACAGGGTCCCCTCCTCAGGGTGAAAAAGATGTGTGGCCCTGACACGTTGGCATTTGTAAATTGTGACGATTTGTCCATTTAAATGGACATATTGAATGATATTACTGAGTGCTGGTGATACTTTGTCTTCTGCCTTGTATCTGCACGGCGCCATCCGTGGTCATCACTGCGAGCACCACTGTGGCATAGGCCGGGAACGTTGCGAGGTGTATGGAGGGTTCTTCCATTTATCTACTATCAAAGTTTGCGACTGCATAAGAATGTGTGACCAGTGACGTGGCCACACATTTTTACATAATCCTGCCCAGTTTTTGGGCGGTGGAATGTGTGGCTGGTCATGGGGTCACACATTTTAACGTAATCACGCCCATTTTTTCAAGGGTTAAAATATGCGACCGGCAAAAGGTGTAGAATTCCAAGCTTTCTCAGCTGTTCCAGGGCAGATCGGCATGGCAGATGGTATGTGCCAAAGAACCGATCTTCCCTGGAACAGCTGATCGGTCCTGAAAACTCACTTCTATTCGACTTTGTGAGTGCGATCTGATATTTCACAAAGTCGGATAGAAGTGACATTTCAGGACCGATCAGCTGTTCCAGGGATGATCGGTTCTCCTGCACATACCATCTGCGATGCCGATCTGCCCTGGAACAGCTGAGAAAGCTTGGAATTCTACACCTTTTGCCGGTCACATATTACGCTAAAATGTATGACCACGTGACCGGTTACACATTCAAACCCAGTCACAATCTTTGATAGAACACTGGCTGCAGCACGTCTCTGTGCTGTCAGCATATAGTGGGCAACAGCCTGCTATATGCCGAGTTTTGAGTCACAGGAGGACAAAATATATGTCCTCCTGTGACCCTAAAGAGAACTATGGCGGGGGAAAAAAAAGGTTTGATCATAGATCTCTTTTAAGCTAACACAAGTAATAATTTAATTGGCCCGAGAAATCGCAGCGTGAACAAAGACCTGACAAAAGAACGAAATTGTGTACAACATAACCTCCTACTGGCTGCATTTTTAGGATAGGATATTTTAGGATGTGTCTAGAGAAAATTACAAGCTCTGCCAAGCATAGTATAATGACACTGGCAACATATACAAGAGGTATATTGTGAAAACCTATAAATTAAAAAAGGTGCATGATTCATTCCATCCGAAAATTGGTGCAATTTATTGCCTCGAAAAACAGTTACCTTTAAGGCATGCCAACTGTCAAGGTTACCAGTGTTTTTATTTTAGCTCTCAACCAAACTTTCAAGCCCTCAAATGGCTGGAGTCATAGCTGATCACTTGCGCAGCACCATAGCAACTGCAATCCGAAATAGAGACTAAGATGGCACCTTCCCTGGCTGTAAGGGATTGGATGTCGTAGTTCCGCCTTAAGTACGATAACCCTGGTTAAGCTAAAACATGTACAGATCATATATTAAGTATGGACAGTGGTAGTCAGCGTGCGGAGAACATTCTGATTCCTGTAGCCATCAGAAAAGAATGTCCAATTTTAGGCCTGGTCCCAAAATGATTGATACCAATATGGAGAGGGATTCTAGTTATACCTTTGCCTTCTCTTGGTTTCTTCTTCATACCCAAATCTGGGGATCCATTGGCAAACGTGGGTTGTTGTACCTTTGGTTTACGACCAGCTGCACAATGGGATAAAAAGTGTCACATGTGAGTAAACACAAACCTACAAAAAAAAAAAAAAAAAATACATTTCTAAAAACACTTTTTTGTACACCAAATCCTATGCAGCTACTTTTAAATAGTCACTCCTCTGGAATGTGTGACACTTTAAAATGGACCTTGCATCTGAAAAATGCAAGGCTTAATTAAACTTAAAAAATTAAAACCTACGTGTTTTTTTAAATTGGGAGAAACAGCAAAAATATTCTTGATGGCACTGGTCCATGGCAAAATCCTGGGAAAGTGGTGGATTCCAAATCTAATGAGACCTTGGATCCTCAGGGGCGGATTTATAAAGCAGGGAATTATAACATTCACTGAGGTCCGCTGGAGACAGAAGGACCATAATAATGTGCGTTTCCCAGTGCATCTGCAAAGCACCACTGTTCCAGCCCAGGGCCGTGTACAATATGGACCTAATAAAAGGCAATACATGTAAAAGTTGCAGCAAAGGGTGATGGGGTAAGAAACAGAATAAGGTGTACTTATCCATTAACAGCTGTTCATTCAAGCAAATTGCAATGTAATTTTTTAAGAATAAAAACTGTCTGAAGTTATTAAGGCCATGTTCACAAGAGCAGTAAGACTAAAGGGTTTCTGAAATGCATTCTAGACGTGCTTTAGATACACTTTGGAGGCACTAGAAAGATTTCTGAAGGTCTCTGAATATCTGTTTTTTTCAGGCCATTCCCTAATAAGAAAAAAAAAATACTGGTCATTGTTGTCGTTTACCCTCACTCCCTGCCTGCTGAAACCACTTTCAGATGATCAGGTAGGGGATATTCTCTCCAATGGAGGCCCACACAACAGTACAACCTGAAAAGGGTTTCTGGCCTTTGTACACTAAAGTGTTTTTTGTTTTTTTTTTAACTTGCGGGCTGAACAAAAAAAGAACAGATTTCTCCATCAATGCTTATGACGAATCCTCCGCTGTTTGCATTGTATTCTGACAGCGGCTGCTGTCCAAATACCTGAACGGAGGTAGCAGCTGAATGAGGATGCTGGGCAGAAGTTTGCCGACAGCGGCACCCATGGTGTTAATTTCGGCCGGTTAATCAGCAACCGGACAAAATTTGATGTGTATATCAGGCTTAAGTTTTTTTGTGTTCCATCTCATGCCTAAAGCAGTTTTAAGTGGTGAAAGAAATCCCCCTAAAAAGCACCTGCCAGGGATATTTTCACTTACAGCATCACAATGGCACTCTCAATCACAACTTCGAGGAAACCAAGTAAAGGAAGTTCCAACTATTTACCTCTACTTCCAAAAATATTAATTCACCGACTGTCATGCTGATCCAAAAATGGTACAAGCATCAAGATTATTTCTGAATGCTTGTTTTGGGTCAGTGTCTGAAAGTTCTGAAGCTAGAGGCAGAACAGGACGTTGATGACAGTTACCGTATTTCTCTTAATTCAGATTTCCTGTGCATGTTCAGCCGTTCAGAGCGGCAAAAATAACAGTGTTAGCTGACAAGTGATAAATAAGACAGAAAATGGATACCTTTCTTTTTTTTCATTGGCTCTCCCAGCTCAATAGATATTGGAATGGGAGAAGCATCCATTGGCTCAGAGTCTTCAGTGGACACTTCCACCACAGTTTCGGTAATAACATCTGGCCTCATGGCGGCATGGATGAATTCTGGGGTAGACACACATTGCGGGATGTACACTTCCACTGCAGGGAAATTAAAAGGTTTTGTACAATTTCTCTAACATAAAAAATAATCTTTTAAAGCATTGTACCCAACTGCCAAATTTGCTCTAAGGCACTTACAGTATGATGGAAGCCATTTCCTGGCTCCTGTTTTCAATATCAGTTCTAATACAACCCATATTTTGGCCAGCAAAGAGCAACACTGGCCAAAGCATGCTGGTGTGTACTGCCACAGCATACATTGGACAACATAAATGATACAGTCTATAGTTAACTACCAGTACAAACACCTTTCCAATTATCAATGTAAACGTCACCTGAAAGTAATTATGTGATTTTCAGATTTTAATTGGATGTTGCACTGTATTTCCAAGACAGCAGAGCTGGCCATACAAAGAACAGTTTTAAGCCAGATCATTAGAAATTGGCCGAAACACAGCCCCTGTATCCAATCTGATGCAGGCACTGCCCGGTTATTCGGCAGCCTCTTTAGCAATGGCAGCTATATACAATAGTTATCAGTGGGGATTCCTCCATACACGCTATTTAGAGTGGAAGGGGGAATCCATGGATTTCTCTCGTTCATTCAGCGGGGCTGATAGAGAGAAATTCATGGAGCATATGGTCAGCTTAAAAGAGAACTATGGGGTAACCTTTTTATCCCATAGTTCTCTTTAGGGTCACGGGAAGACATATACTAATTGCCTCCTGTGACCCAAAGATCAGTATATAACCGGCTATAGCTCGCTATATACTGAGAGTGCTGCAGCAGGGACGGATCCCGACAATACTGTCGAGATCCACCCAGCTGGCTGACTGACTGCGGGTTCTGCCTATCGAGAGGAAGATCTAGCTGTGCCCGCCCCCGTCCATTCCTCCAGTCAGCGCCGGAGGATCGGCGAGGGGGGAATCCCTGCAGGAAACGGTGATTGACAGTCACTGCAGGGAGATGAACGGGAAGTGAGTGAGTGACGGTATGTGTTTGCTCACTTCCCGATCAATACAGCCAATGTGTGACAGTTTCAATGTCACATGTCAGCTCTAACTATGAGGATGAGTGTAAATCACTCACCTCATAGTTCTCCTTTAACTCTGATCCAATTTCCGATAACCGTAGGAATTTAAAAAAGACAACTGATTTCGACAACACTGGTTTTAGTCAGTCTAAACAAAATATGACTCAAACACTAAAATTAATATAGATTATAGACATTTTACACCAGATGGGATATTTGTTTTGCGTTTTTCAAGCCCTATAGTGTTTGGCCCAGTAAGAACAAAATGTATTTGACACAAGGGAAAAGTGCCATTGTTTTTCTGCTCACAATCTTGCAAAGGTAACGGAATATTTTCCAGTAAAGGTGCCCATACACCTTACGAATATCAGTCAATTTTCATTTGCGATTTTTGTAAGGTTGAAGCGGAGTCTACAACCACAAATACTGTACAAACGTATGACGTTAACCTTTCCAGCATGCTAGAAAGCTTCGGCCGATCGTACGATTTTCGGCGGGTTAGTGGCGTGGTTGTACAGCGCAATTCGTAGGATCGAAACAGCGCAAGAGCAAATGAAAAGTTTTTCTCTAAATCACAGCCAATCATCCAATTAGCGGTGGAGACGAACGATAATCGCAGATCTGTGCATGATGGGCTGGTTGTGTGAAAATTTAACGATGGTCACGTTTTTCTGCCCTGAGGAAGGGACCCTGTGCGGTTCCGAAACATTGGCTTGGTGTTACTGTGACGTTTATGTCCAATTAAATGGACATGTTTGATGATATCATTGAGTGCTGGTGATTTATATCTATACTCTGTCTTGTGAACTCTGTCTGCACGGTGCCATCAGTGATTGTCAATGCGAGCACCACATTCTATATAGACCTAGACTGCTGTGAGGTGAGCGGAAGGCTTCTCCATCTACCCATTGAAAATTGAATAGGTTACAACCATCGTACAACGATGGTTGTAAGGTGTATGGGCACCTTAAAAGGCGTAGTGCCCTCAAAGCATCAGTGTAGCTGATGGCCCCTGCCCTCCCCCTGGTTGTGTGCACTGGCAGAGCTTTGAATGTTGTGTGGACAATCAACTGGCTGTTGAAAAGCATGATCCTTTGCCAAGCAGGGCAGACAGTAGCAGCACTTCAAACAAGCTTGTTCAAAGAGTCCTGGCAGCATAGTCACAATCTATTATGCATGATATACCACCTACTCGGTGAGGTACATTCATAAAAACTGTGCCATAACATTGTCAACACATTACCTGAATGGTACCTGTGCCAAACAAATGAACAATCTTTTCACTGTGAGCACACAAGTCAAATCTTGTCCCAATAGAACAAAACATGCGCCGAAGCCAAGGATCACATAAAAGGCATAAATGCTACAAAACAATAAATGTGCTTGATTGATTGGAAGTATGAAGATTGCTCGGCAGGGGGGGGGTTGATCAGCTATATTTATTTTAGTACAACCTGGTCATGTAATATTTGGAAATAATGCTGCTTGTGCACCATCTCATCCCAATATATTTCTGAATAATCTAGGGCTGCAACTATTATTTTTTTGATTAATAGCATAAAAAAAAAACATCTTTTATTTAAAATAAAATACAGCAATGCAGTGTTACAAAGTTTACTTCAGAATAAAAGTGCATCCACATTGTTTGCAATCGCACAGCACATTGTTTGCAGGCATTACACACTGCGGGCAGGAGTGGGGTGCCACTAAAATGAATGGCACTACAACGCACATCCTGCAACAGAATTTGTCAGGCCGACACCAAAAATAACTTTTTTTCCCACCTTTTTTAATAACGGTTTGTATTATTTTAGACATTTTAATTAGTTTCATGGATTTAAAATAATCTGAATTTAAAAACTCCAAGCCAATATAATAAAATAACCAAACTTCTTTTTTTTTTTTTTAAAGAACACACCAAAATTTGACAAAAAATACAATTACATGTAAAATTATATAGATGTATAAAAATATAAAAGTCCAGCTATCAGTTTAGAGTTAGCCATGAATACTGGACAAGGAGAATAATTGCTCTCACTCCCTCATACCTGACATGTGCAGCACAATCGTCATTTTCATAAGCAAGTGCACCCGAATTGTGTTTCACGTTCACGGGGTCAGGGGACTTTAAGTTTTTAGAGGGGTATTTTTAATTTTAACTTTATTTTTTAAAACTTTTTTTACATTTCATTGTAATCAATGTGATAGCACATTGGAGATGGCAGGCTCTCTTTAATGTGACACTAGGGGTCTATTAGACCCCTAGTGTCACCATTCTACTTCACTAGTTTTAGCTGGGGAATGACAGCTGCCTGTTGAGGCAACTGAATGTAAATACAGCAGGCAGTGGCTTGGAGCAATAGCCAGCCTGCTGTTGGCTATTTCAAATTGCAATAACCAATAGCAGGCTGGCTATTGCAACCGCCCACTGCCTGCTGTCAATCAGCAGAGGAAGGAACTGAAAGAGAAAGTTCTCAGGTAGACAGCAGGTAGTGGGAGCGTGCAATAGCCAGCCTGCTATTGACTACTGCAATTTAAAATTGCCAATAGAAGGTTGACTATTGCTCACAGCCGCTGGATGGAAGCAAGCCATAAGGAGGGGGCACAGAGGAGTGGCGAGGACACAGGAACGAGCACAGGGGACACGGCGAGGAGCAGTGGGAACAAAATAAGGGGAGTGGAGGCACAGCGCTCGCTACTTTCCGCTGGGCGCCAGCTGCAGACCAATGGGGAAGCAGAGCAGCGGCAGCCTCATCGCTGAGCACCGGCTGCAGGGGTCTGTGTCCCCTCTTGCATCACTGCTTGGAGCATTGGAGATCAGAAGGGACACAGAGCCCATGAAACAAGTAATGGAAAAATCAACTAAATCGATCATGACAACAACTCTCATTATTGACCATTGATTAAATCGATTAGTTGTTGCAGCCCTAAAATAATTTAAACACAATCCAGAAACGCCTCAATAATTCTATACTAGAATAATAGAAAGAAAGAAATGCAAAATGTGAAAACCCATAGCAAGCCACCAAACTTCACCTTACTGGGATATATAGAAACTAAGTCATCCTTTTCTACACAGACTAGAAATGTCATTGGTGGAGGTGGTTTATTGTACGCCAATGATCATCTCGGCACTCCCTTACTGCACACACTCAACAGTGGTGCTAAGATAACTACAGAAAATTGGGGGCCCTGTATGTTGTCGCAGGATGAAAGGGAACCACTGACCACAAAAAGTGTCTGAGTCTGTGTATTTTTACTTGCAGGGATGACCAAAGAAAATAAAACACTCATGAACAAGAAATAAACATGTAAATATGAAAGCAGTGGCGCTGATTTATAAATGCAGCGAATGTAACATTCATCAAGTAATTACTGCAGGTGAATCTTCCTAGTGCATAGGTTATAATTACAGGAAATGGTTAACCACCTGTGAATGTTTTGTCAATGTCACATTTACCGACTTGTGAAAATGCCTTATTTTCAGTGAGCAAAGATTTTAAATGTTGAAGAGTGACGGAAGAAAAAGACCAAGTGGATCATCAAGTCTGCCCCTTTTTGGTTTTTTTCCATCTTATAGAGTATAGATCTAGAAGTGATCAAGTCTAGGACTGCATTCCATACATTGTTCTGATAGATTTAGTACAGATAAACCTAACTGTGCTAGGTTTGTCCCAAGCACGTTTGCATTCACTTACTGTTGACTGACCACTACCTCTGCTGGAAGTCTGTTCCAAGCATTAACTACTCTTTCAGTAAAATAATATTTTCTAGGTTAGCTTTTAACATTCCTCCCGCTAGTTTGAGGTCATTGTTGCAGCAGTTATCTTAAAGTAATTTTTTATATGACTTCCAGTTAACATTCCACAGCCTTGCTGTTTCAAACTAACATTTTACTTTAGCAGGGCTTGAAAAATCCACTCGTCCTCTCATCTGTGACGAGAGGACGCCAGAGCCGGACAAGTAACTTCCCGGCCGGGAGCTTCTTGGATGGTGGTTTACATTCAAGCAATCGGGCGTTGCTTGTATTAGCTGCGGTTTTACACCCTCAGCCGCCGCGGTCACTGCCGGTCTTGAGACACACGGCTGCTCTGTGGCAGGAGATCGGTACACAATCTCCCTCCGATCCCCGAATGCAGGAAGTGATGTATGTTACATCACTTACGCATTCAGCTGTCATTCCCAGCTACAGAAGCTGGTGAAGCAGATCTCAGCTTCATCAGCATCTCTGGGGGTCCTTAGGTCACATGTCTCCATAAAGAGGACCAGTCATGTAAATTGGCTATCACATAGGGAGCTTCTTTGCCCACTATGTAAAAGCAATAAAGTTAAGTGTTAAAAAAAAAAAAAAAAAAAAAGGAGTAATAAATGTTTTTTTTTTTAAAGAAGCATAAAAAACCCCCACTCAATTAAAAAAACTAAAGTCCCCCGCCCCCCACATACACACAAAAACATGCGTTGGTGCGCCTACACGCGAAAATATAAAAAAGTTGCATCATTTTAGAAGGTCAGAAGACAAGAAATAACAGCCAATCAAAACCAAAGAATGAAACAGTATTCACGTTTCACATGCCTGTATGTGTAAAAAGCAAATATGGGACCCCCATGCAACATATAAATTACAAACTATACAACAAACCAAGACTTCCAGAACAAAGACATGGATACAGTTATTTACGTCAAACTGATCTCTTAACATCTGTATTAAAAAAAGACACAAACTCAACAATGAACAAAAAAAGGGGCCGTGCATTTTCTATTTTAATTGCAAGTTAGGAAAAAGAATGTGAGCAGTGCAGCACAATACCTGGGCTCCTGGAGTCCCGGAGAATGGTGGGAGACTCCATGTGTAGCAGTGCCTCTGCCGCCTCAATCGTCTTGTCTGTGCAATGGGCATTGCTGCTGTGTACAGATGCTTCAACTGTAAAAAGATGAGGAAACTATGAAAAAGACCGGCAAATAAAAAGGAGTGACTGCAGTGCATGATGGACTATAGTTTTGATTGTACAGTTTGTCTACAACCATAAAAATCAATCCAAACCAATCAATTTAGGAGCTTACATAAATTTGAAATACATCAACCACTAAAGCACATTGTGCATTTCCTACTCAAATAATATTTTATGCAAGTTTGACTTTCCATATACTGAATAAGCAGTCTGTAGAGTATGTGACCAAGTACATCATGTTACTGCTGTTCCACACCAACAGAAAAGAACCTTTTGTGCCAATAAGGCTGCTAACACAAGTGCAGCACACTGTATATATGTGGACAACTCCTTTTCTAAGACATTTTCATCTCTACATAGTTTATCCAAGTGCTAGTCTCTGTGGGTGCACCAATGCTCCAGAAACCAAAGAAATGATTACAGAACTGGGGAGCCAATAAATTCTAAGACAGAACCGGGAGTGTAAAATTGCATCAAGACTAGATACATGTCTTCATTCATGACGGTGTGTAAAAAGACTAAGCCTTTAGACACATGTCCATATGCAGCAGGGAAGCTATGGTTTTTTACTAATTCAAACCTGCTCATGTCGTCAATTTTTTTTTCTTCCACAGAATGAGCTGTAGTTTTCACTAAAGTTATGTATGTGATACGGCATTTAATTATAACTATACACAAACATAATATTTAGGAATATAATCTATATTACTTTTAAATAAAAGAAACAAAATACCATTAAACAAGCCTCAACTTACAATAGAAGAAAAATAGACTGATGTCAGATTAAGAAAAAGAACTAGCGATATTTCCTAAAGCATTGGGAAGAACACGCAGTGTACTGGCACACACCCTGCCAAGTATTTGTGTCCCTAAGCCCCCGGCAGCACCTGCTGCTCCCCATCCCACTCATGAAGCAAGGTGTCATCTTCAATTGCTCTCGCCATTTATGGCAATGTGCTCACAGCTGATCCATTCCAAGTCAGCAGCCAGCAGTGCCTGAGCCTATCTTTAGGTGACCCTTTCTACTGCATTCTGCAAAAGAGAAGGGAACAGCAGGATTCTGAACAGACCATCCAACCAGAGATTAAACTGGTTTTCTTTTTTAAACTGCACCCTAAGCTAGCTCTGCACCTTGCTTCACGAGACTAATACAAAGTCCCAGGGACCAGTTTATTGCTATAGACTATTGAATGTTAAAAGTCAATTTTGGAGTAACCTCCAGAAAAGTCTGACACTTGTAAAATGATGGTAGTACCCTTTTACATAAAATAAACCAGTATTCTGGACCCCTAAGCAGTTATTAAAAAGCATGTAGTACACAGTATTATATCAGGGCTGGACAAATCCCAGGAGCCAGGTAGCCAATGCTCCTTAAAAATTACAGCTGGCACCTAACTTTTGCGGGTTTCTCTCGTTGTCGTCAATGGAGATGGCTCTCAAAAAAATCCTGCTGGTACCTGAATTGGACAGGCTGATATTCTGGATCACAGCAGAGCAAGGGGCATGTCACATTAGCAAAATCCCCAAGGGAGAACCCACCTGCACTTCAGTGGCATTGCTCCCGCACTGGTTTAATCAGTAAGATGTTGCATCTCTTCCCCCTTGCTGTAGAGTGATATTTTGGATCTTTCAGTCAGTAAGGGGGCGGTAGGATTGCTCTCTAGTGATCCTATCGCTGGTTTTTAGCTGCCAATGACAGCATCGCTAATGTGACATGGCTTACAACCATGCCCATTTGCAAGGAAAAGTATCAACTGGTGGGGTAATCGCCTGTTTGCAAGCGATGGTTAAAGAGTTCTATGAGGTGAGTGATTTCCACTTATCCTCATAGTTAGAGCCAACCTGTGACAAAGAAGCTGTCACAGGTTGGCTGTATTGATCGGGAAGTGAGCTAACACATACCGTCACTCGCTCACTTTTCGATCATTGTCGGGATCCGTCCCGGCTGCGGCGCTCTCCGTATATAGCGGGCAATAGCTCGCTATATACTGAGCTTTGGGTCACGGGAGGAGGTTAGTATATGTCCTCCTGTGATCCTAAAGAGAACTTTGGGAAAACCACTTACCCCATAGTTCTTTATGGGGTAAGTGGTGCAGAGATCCCTTCCTGATCACAGCAGTATGGAGTGGATGTCACCGCAAAACTGCAATAACCGCACCCCATATGTGTGTATGGGGAATCTGATGTAAACTGACATGCTCACAGACTTGCATTGGATCAAGTCTGCCTGAAAAACTGACAGACGGAACGGATCGGAGCGTGAAAGGGGCCTAAGACGATCGTTTTGGTGTCTATAAAAATCATACCTGAGGTTCTGTGCCAAAAGAGCCATTATTATTCACCTTTCTCATGGCCTGTGTCTCCTATTATTCTTCTTCCTAATACTGCAGCCTCCACCACACATCAGCATTCAACACTACCGGAAGTGTCAGATACCCGTGTCCTCCACACCACACAAGCATCCGACACTCCCAGAAGTGTCAAATGACTTAAAGTGACATTAAACCCTCAGATTTTTTAACATAAAACAATACTGTAATGTGTGCCTCACTGTAATGCATGGTTGTTTCCCTTCTCTTTGCTGCTCTTCCTTTTAAATCTGTATCTCTTCTCATGCTGGGCAGAACTTCTGTTGTACAATTGTACAGTGATTGTGATCGTGCACTTCCCATCAAATGGCCGATTATTGTACGAACAACGGATCGCATTTGGTTTTCGAAGGATAATTGTAAGGTGTACGGGCACCTTTAGTATTACAACTTTTTTTTTAAAGAGACTAAAGGTTCCATGTCATTTAAAATAAAATTTAGGGTGCTCCTAATAGTATTTAATAAGAATTAAAATGGCTGCTCGTCTTTTGATCTCTACATAGTTTAAACCTATTTAATTAAATACATGAACAACAAAAAGGTAAAAGTGAACTTCGGTCAAAAAGCTAAATACATACCGTAGCTGCAGTAAACAAAAGGAATTTGATTGCACATGTTGGTACATTATGACATTTTGATGTCAATTCCCAAGCTGAGTAAAACTTGCATACATTGCGTAAGCATTGATTTTCAGAGATTGTATTTCTCCGAGACAAACACTTTCTAGGGAAATGCTGACGCTTTGATCCAATAGAATATTACAACCTGAAATTTAATTGCAAAGATCATCCGAACTCAATTGAACAATATACAGTCTAAGGCCTTGTTCACACCAAATGCAGACCAGATCCGGTCAGGTTTCTGCACACGCAGTGCAGTGGGTTGTGCCGCGTTTTTGATGCGTTTAGGGCCGGTTTTGGTAAACAAAAAAAAAAAATATGAGCGATATCGCTGCAAAAATCGCTCAGTGTGAATGGGGCCTAACGCTGAACTCATCCAATTGAGAACAAACTTCATTGAACATTAGAAATTCATAGTCATTCTAGGAACACAAAATTCAATAGCCTTTCTTTATGGAATGAATTAATTTAACATACAATTGTGCATTTGACACTATGATGCATATTAATATTTGTAGCTGCTTGATAATGATATGCAAGATCGGGTTATTTATTTATACAATACTTTCACCCATTGGCATTGATGAGGATGATATGTTCTGCCTACAAACTGTATTGAGAGATTACTGCCAATTATTAATATAATGTTAGAGCAAATATTCACTGCAATATCTGGTATGTTATTATCTCCGGGGGCTACATTATAATGAAGCAATGTTTGTTACTTGCACATCCGGACAAGGCTTTATAGGTGGCAATTTTGTTTTGCTGTAGGCACTTGTAGGAGCCTGCTTTATATGTCTGACTTTTTAGACTGTTGTGTGAGGACAGGCTCACTGGGTCATTTAGATAGGTATAACAGCAGTCAATAAAAGCAATAACATGAACCATGTACCAGATCCAGTTGCTGGAAATAAGCTGGGCCAGCTAGTGTGTAGCCATGAAAGGGTTACTAGGAACTATGGGCAACCCTGGGAATCTAGAGAACACTGAATATATCACACTTCCAAACGGACAATAAGCAGTTAAGGCTTTTACAAAGAGCGGCCACATTTGGAAGGCTGCCAAGAATATGCAAGCTCTAATCAGTCACTAGTAGGTGTTTCTATGGATATCACTATGCCAGAAACATACTGAAGAGAGCAGGAGTCATGAATGCGCTAATAAAGGCGGCTTAAAAAAAAAAAAAAAATCTAACGTGCCCTAAATATGTTTATATAAAAACACATTGGATTTGTATTTTCTCAACACTATAGATACAGGTACCATAGCACTGAACAACCAACCTGGGAAAGTAATGTTAATACTGGACAGACAAACCCCCCCTCATAAATCTGAAGCAGTATGTGCAAAGTTGCCACAGGGAACTTGTAATAGTGTATATATTTAACACGTCTGTGCAAATTTTGGGTCAGACAACCATTGTGTGTAAAGGTCACACGTCTATGTCAGAGACAGATTTTGCAACATAAGGCTCGGAATAGGTTTAAAGATGACTCAGTCTTCCACAAGTATGGGAGAAAGTGACCGACTCCGCAAATGCACTGTATGAAGCAATTCTGTCACCATCACTCACACTTGTGTGAAGCAGAAGTCGATTCTCATTTAGACCTCATTTGAGCAGACTGAAGATGATAGGATGATAGCACACCAGCATATGGTGGCACAATGATTAGATCCCCTAAGGCCCGGTTCAGGCGTTTTGTAGCGAGGTCATACGCTCTGCAAAACGCTCAAACACCGAAATCCCATTATTTCCTATGGGTATGGTTCACACCTGGGCGTATTACAGGCCGTATGAACGCGCTACAAAACGCCCTACGCCCGAAGAAGTACAGGAGCTTCTTTGGGGCGTTTTTGTCGCACGTTTCCATTGGGATACAGCCAAGTAGCCCTCGGAAACGCACGTTTGTCACACGTTTTTTTTTACCGCCAATCGCGGTAAAAACGCACGTCACGAAACATGCATATTCGAGACGCCTA